GTCCTCATGCCCGAGTGGACTTCAACACAATGAAGTAGAAACTATTACATTTTGCAAACCGTAGGCAGCCAGTTTTATGGACTTTGCATGCTCCCGATACCCTTTTATAAAAATGAAGTCAAGTTGACCAGAAATTATCATAATGTGACTCCAAGTGGATCCTACATGTATTTAGGTGTGTTTTCCGTATGGCTAGATTTCCCGTCAGTTTCTAAGAACAAATAAAAATAGTTAAGTACGAATGTTTTGGGGACAGTAATATACGCATCGTACAGAAAATAACCCTGCTTAAATGTTTGTTATAAATCGACTACCGGATGAAATAGTCATATTAAGGACTACGCAAGTGAATAAAGGAAGCAGCCACAGAAAGATGTTGGTGGCCATGCTTGTGTCCACCCTATGGGTGTTTTTGCATAGGCTCTGGTATCCGTTGGGTCATCGTACTAGCATCAAACGACTCATTCATTTTTTTGTGTTTGGTTGAAGACTGAATCATTGATTCTCTCTCTTTGTTTTTAGATGCATTGGATTGCATTCTTCCTCAGGCCCCAATGTTGATCTTAAGGGTCCCCTGGGATGGTGTGCACCAGAACGGGAGACAGGAGAAATTGCATGTACTACGGGCAAATTGGAGGATTGGTTTACACGTGTAATACGTGCACGTCGGATGTTTGGGGGAGTGCAAAGTACAGTTCGCATGTCAGATTTGGTGGGGAGGTGGCCATCTTGGGAGAATTCATTATCTGCATCCCCTTTGCCACCAGCAATGTTATCATTTCTACTCTCAGTGTCGTATACGCAGCAATTGTCATTAAAAATGGTACTAAAGTGCCTTGTTCACAACAGGCGCTTATAGAGCTCAACCGCCTACATCTTCAAGTCCGCGGTGACATAAATCATAATGCGCCTTTACAAGTAGGCTATAATGAATTAGTATTTACAGCGTTTGAAATGTTATTTACCACTTCAAGGATTACACTTCTTTAAACCTTCAAAAGAAAAGCAGCAAATGTTAATATTGTGGAATATGGAAAATTAATGAAGCAAAAGTATAAATAGGCCTATAGGGGACTAACACATACGCATGTATCATTAGCCTACTTAAAGATTCCCCTAGCCTCGGTTTTAAATAGTGCATTTTATCGAAAATCCTGTAATTTTATATAGGAACTAAGATTCGAATAAACAAGAGTGTACAATAAAGTTAGTTTCGAACATGAATGGAAACTTATCTTTTGACTTGTTGCCAAGACAATGTTTATTACTACAGGCCTCATAAGTAGAACCATGGAGGATGTGTTGTTATTCCTCCATGGTAGAACAACCACCACCAGCAATCCCCATTACCCAATCATAAATTGTATCATCATTCTGAAATGCGCAATCTCCATATCTATCATCACTCTTCTCCCCAGCGAATACAACTTTATTTTTATTCCCTTTATTCCCTATAGGCCTATGCACACCCTTACTTTCTTAATTTCATTGTTCACCAGTTAAGGCAAAAGCAATAAATACATTAGCAATGCGCATGATTCACCTCATTGTAAACGCATCACCATATGAGATTATGCATGATTAATCAGCCGAACACATGTTAGGAATTGGAGGGAGTTTTGGTCGATTCGAAATTCATGATAAAACTGGAGCACGCTCAATCTCCTTTCTATCGATCCATTTATTATTGATATCATAAATTATTGATATGAAACTGTCGTCGGAATTTGAACAAAAAGAGCAGTACAATCGCTCGGTCGGCACCACCAAACCCCCAACGGCCCGATAACGGATCATTTCTGCCCTCAAATCTAGACCATCGGCCTCGGTTCCGGGTCAAAACGAACGTCTGAGGTACTCCGGTGTATCCTCAGGCCGTTCACCGGGGAACACGCTATGATCAGGTGTCCTGATTTCATTACCCTTCTCGTTCAACCCGGGAACCATACATGCATTTTTCTCAAAAAGAGTGCGGCGACTATTATATCCCCACGATAGCTTACCTTCAATTTGTGCACGGAGCAATATTTTCCAGCGATGTTTTTGAAAAACATGAGCTTTGGGAGCGAAAATATACAGCCTCCATGGCCATTGGCAAAACTGCAAGAATGCTTACATTAAAATCAATGATATAGCCAATGACGTAGATACATTCACGATTATGAAACCCTATTATCCCTAGGCCGCCGACACGTGTAAAACTCGTAATTTTTTTGACATTTTATGAAAGATCTTAAGATCTCGATGCAAAATGTATTACAAGGCTAGGACACTGAACGGTTATTCGCGTGTACATTTGCATAATTTACTATTAGATTTTAACTTTTTTCCCGTAGCCCTAGATTTCCCGTAATTTATCAAAGAAATCTTCGGAGCAATTTCCCTCACGAAAATTGACAGTTCAATCAAGTTGCCAGAGCAGGTGACAGGCCTGTATTGCGACAGAAATTTCTGGCGCTTCCGTTAATTGAATAAAATCAGACGACTTTATTGAAGGCTTGAACGGATGACACAGTGTTAGCGGAAGAGGTATTCTTGAGTTTCTAGTCTCATGTTTCCCAATCATGTTATGTCTGCAACATACATGGCGAATTAGCCACATAAGTTCATGTGCAATATAAATTGGTTTCGGCTTTCAACGCTGCTAACCTTTTATACGTTCACAGACAGCTTATTCGGACGCGCAAACTTGCTATTAAATTTAAATAATTATATAGGCCTAAGAAAATTGTCTCAAAAGGCTTATGTATAAGTACACACCAACTTGAATGACTTAAAACATAAAATTGAAAACTAAATACGTTACCGATGAGTATCTTAATAGGAATGATAGCAAAGCAGATATAGTCATGGTATCCTTTTGTCCGAGAGAGCCGATAATATTAGTGGCTGCAACAGTGAGCCCCTTTGAAACGCTTGATGGCAGCAAACAGATATGTTTACACGATAGAGAGAGAGAGAGAGAGAAACCCTGTACGCCGTAGGGGAGATAGGAGACCTGTGTACACAGAGAAGTGCTCTAATCATTTAAGTTAAGAAGTGTTGTAAATGTCGGTTGGATTACCAAAACAATAAGACAATAATATATTTATATCATCGTCTGGTCAAGTTGACAGAGTTGTTACAAATGTTGTTACTGTTGTGATGGACATAAATGTTAAGTTCTTCATACCCATAACATAAACTTACATACCAGTATATGATCAGTAAAATGTGTCTTATTTGAAAGGGCACAGTTATGGTCGTGCCACCCACTCTCGCTCTCGACGGAATCAGTGCAGGTCGGTCTCCATTCATACCGTGGCTACTTCCAATCTGCAAGTCCAAGCATCTGAACCCACCATGTTCTTCATTCTGTTTTTAATCATCTTTTAAGTCCCTGTGGGAGGAAGCACGTACGCATTGAATCGTCTACGTGACCAATCGCGTAGTGTCCCCCACGCGCCCCAAGAAATCAGCCGGCGCGCGGTGCTTTTTTTTCTTTTCAAAATGCACGCTTGAATTAGAAGTGCATTTGCAGGATTGTTCCTTTTGCGCTTGAGTCGTTTCTCCAGAGAGGAGGCAGAGCTGACCCAGCTTCGATCGTCAACAAGTCCTAGTGTTCACCGTGTGCTCTCCAGGGTAGTCCCTAGATTAAGTGGCTAATCTGGAAAGGTCCTAAGCCTCACTCTCACACCCCTGAGGCAAACATCACTTGTTTTAGCTTGTTCCGGGCACTCATTGATTTCCAGCCCCTGTATTTCATGAATATAATTGCAGCAGGTTAATTTTTTTCAACGGAGATATAGATTTAATTTCTAGACTAAGAGGACAGAGGCTGAGTGGGAATGGGGAATACAAATGTAGATACCCGGCTCTCACCCACTTCTGATTCAGAAAAGCTGATTTAGAAATCAATAACAAAGTGATTATAGTCTTGGAGCAAACTCCTCCTCAAGAAGAAAGAATTCAAGCGGTCAGAGTTTCTTGGTAAATAGACCAACTCAATCATACCATTCACAAACGGAGGATACATTTCTCTCTGCGGGCATGTTCCATTTTCTAAGCGATTCGCTGAGCTTGGATCGGACCTGTCAACATGCCCAGCGGTCGAAACTCTTCGAGACGACTAGCATCTTAAAAATTGTTATTCTGGAGATGTCTGATTTGGCGCCCTTTATAATAATGACATTTGTTAAGAAATATCACCGAAAGACGAGATCTATAAATATTTAACTGTATCTATAAATGAGAAAATATATAAAAAAAAAACTATACGGAATGAATCAAATACTTCAAAGTCATTATTCTAGAATTATAAAAGAGGTGTACGGTTACTGGATAGGAATTCCGATAAGGGTTCCGTAGAGCTATGGACAGACATTAAAAATGTGTATTTAAAAGTTTTCTTTTAAATTAACATGTTATAGTTCGGTTGAAGTAGGTTTTATTTATGTTTTTGTTGAAAATTGTATGTCCATGCTGTTCAAATGATATTGTGAAGCCTGCTCAAAATAACATTTTTCACTTCTGTTTTTTCAACGATGTTATGCACGAATTAATAATATATAATTATTAATTGAACCTGGGCAAAAATTACTCAAGCAAGCAAGTTTATTTAAAGTAAGAACGCTTACCTTCTTGTAATCCGTGGACATAATTTTAAAACGGTAGTTGTGTTTAAAATTCGGTAACTTGCAAAGTACATAATTTATATGAATGATTCTTGTACTAAAAAAAGCCTATGGGCTTTTGTAGCCTAGATTTTGAAAGGGCTACATGCAGAACTTCACTAAAACAATGTAGTATTTCCAACAAACTTTACTCTTGATATTTCAAAATAGAAGCTAAAAGATGATATAAATTTAATTCTTAACACCACTTTCACTGTATGATCGGCCTTGTTATTTCCGTTAGCTCTATTTTTGTCCTTGTCACCTAGTACTAAGTCCCCTTTCCCATCGAATTTCGAACGTTCTCAATCTAATTTTGTTCTCATCCCTTCATTCAGGAAGATCAAGTAGAGTCTTCTAGAGCAGTGACTCCAAGATGCCGTTCAACCTCAAGCAACTCGTGCCGGGATTTCTCTCTAAGCGAGCCGAGAACGGCACTGCCTCGAGCCAACGGGGCGGCCGGTCAGCCAGCACCTGTGAGGGAGACCCGTACGGTGATGGCTCAGAGGTCCGAATACGGTTATCCTCCGAAGCCTCAGGACAGTACCAGAGTAGCCGTAGGTGCAGTAGGCGTTCTGATGTGGACTATGACGATGGGTATGGCTGTATTGGCACCATTGTGGTGACATTGTTAATCTTGAGCCCTCCTCTTGTTCTTGTTGGGGTCATCCTTCTCACCACGGGTGCAATCTTAAGCAGTGCTCACGTCTTCGGCTCGGGTATGGCTGTCATCGTGGCCGGTGTGGTTGTGGGAGCACTGTCCGCCTTTGCCTTCGTCCGGTTGAGGTCACATCCTTCCCCGGGTTCTTCAGCTGGACGAGCGGCTTCCTTACACCGGGAATCTGCCGGTCAGCACCGCCAGCTTACACCCCGTACCGCCTCCATCATAGAAACCACCGATCAACGGACAGTTGAAATAACATTCTGCACCACGGATGCGGAAACAACCCGGGACTTATAGGGGAAAAATCGCATGTTCTTAAATTTCACCTGGGGGGGGGGGGGGGGATCTATCCGTTCGGTCTATTTGTCGAAGATTGTTTTGATGGAGAGGAGCTACAAATGACGGATTTCAGTCCCCCATCAACGCGAAAGAGCGGGCACACGATTCACGTCGGTGAAACGGGAATGTTTTGATAGCAACTCGAGACAGCTTTCTTAATGCAAAACATCGATCTTGGAGTATTCTAGCGCGCACCTCCACAGCAATTTGGACGTTGCTAGCATAAGATGGATATTGGTTTAATCTAAATGCCGGAATAGCAAGCCATGACTGACACCTCTATATACGTTTGAGTTATTCAGGTCTATTATTTTCGAGAATGGAGTTCTTGACGGTGTCCCTGCAGCGATTTTTCCCCCAAACAGCATCGTATGGATGCTGGTTGAGCGCCCTCTACGATAGTGGAACGCCGCTATAACGAACATCGCGAGATCCATAGACATTGTTCGTAATACTGGTCGTTCGGTATAGCGATTTTAGGCTGCCAGTGCTCTCTGGTACCCACTTTTCAATAAATAGTGTTTTTCAGAACTTCACCTGAAAGCCCTGGTATTTGCTAAAAGATGACTTTGAACACATGCCGACTATTGAATAAGGTAATTACACATTTTTTTTAAAGCTTACTATCTACACTTTTGAGCTCACTACCTACACCTATACAGCAATGCCATGAATTACGGTTTGCTGTCGAGCTCTCCGATGGCTCAGCTGGATAAAGCCATGGTTTTGAGATAGGAGGGTTTGAGTTCGAAACCACGTTTTTCCTATTATTGTTTTCTTTTTTAATTTGCGGCTTTGGAGGATTTTTTTTATAAGGGAAATAAAGTCCGAATTTCATTCGATTAATAAATAATAATAACAATAATAAATAGAGCATTTATAGAGCGCTTTTAAAACAGATCAAAGCGTTGTACAAAACTACAAATTAACAAGATCAACAATAAAAACTTAATTCAAGAATAATCATTTATGTTCTGGCTTAATTAAGATTTAAACTAAAACATACTCATTACATGTTAGAAACATAAGCATTTCCAACATGCGGGAAGATAAGCTGGCACGATGGGGACACATTATTATACCGAAAAAAGACTGAAAATGCGCTCCACTGGTGCAATTGATGCAATTATACAGCTAGGACTTTGTAGCCAAGTGTATACAGAGATGGGTACTTTGTTGAATTTACCGCCCAAAATTGGAGTACGCCGTCAGAGTTGTGTACCTCACTCTCCAAGTAGCGTTTTAATTGGACTCTTGCACTATCTCGCTCAGAACTTCGTGATGGTTCAACAGTTGGGTTTTTTTTTGGGGGGGGGGGAATGTCCCTGCAACTGGATCTGTCCCGTTTAGGAAGTTCCTCAAGCTTACCGGGATTTGTGTACACGCTGCAGATGATGGGTGAAGTTGAAGGTAGTTCCACTGTAATATCAGACCCGATGAGTTGCGGTTGTCTCTGAGGCTGTTTGTTATTTCTACATGTACCATGAATGCACGAAAGATCTACACATGCGTATCCATGCAATACAAAACCATTGCCCTCTAACTCCGCCTTATACGCATGAGGTTTTTTTGTTAGTTGGAGAAATGTTTGATGATTTGCCAGACCAAACGCGTCAGATATTTCATTTTATCATGAATTGGTTTCCTTTTGAATTTGCTTTTTTGATAAAACAAGTGTTTTTGACCAAGAACAAAACATAAACAGTCAACACCTTACATTTCAATTGGTGGAGATGATCCCTTGGAACTTTACCCTTATTTTAGGTTCGTTTGGTCACGAATGTTGTTGGGAGTTATGGCAGTTGCAGATCTGCGGAGGGTTTAGGGGTGTACCCCCACACCTTAAATAGGAGTAGCACATACCTGGTACCCTCCACCATTATATTGCACCAAAACTGATTTGGTACGTTGATCTAATTTCTAGTTGGCGAAGGTATAGATCCACAATCACAATGCTATTTACTTAATAGTTGAAAACCGGAAAGTAGTATAGTCTGTCTTAAACATTTTACGAAAATGTGATCAGTGGACATTTAAATATTTATCAATGTGTGATATGTAGAATTGGACGAACCAAATCAATTGTGTCAATTTGTTTTATGTCAATTCAATAAAAAAGATAATGTCCTCATAGTTTTTTTTACTTCAAAGACGTTTTATGAGTGTCGCCTCACAAAAACAATTATCGGGCCCCAGTCGTTCCCCAAACATGAATTTGTCTAGTCCTTTTTCACAAACGGCCCATTTTCACTAGTGACCTTTTTTTTAATTATATATTGGGCCGCCATGGAGAACGCCGCCTATTGTCTCATAGTGTCCACTTTTAAGGGCGCCCGGCCAGATCGGTGGTGTCCAGATCCCCCCCCCCCCACACACACAAAGGTCGTGATCTGATACACCGTGCCCTCTGGAGACATGCACACAATAGGGAACAAAAGATTGTATACGTCTCCACAGGGCAATTTCTATAGATGAATACGTCTCCACAAGGTTTTCACGGAATAGATATATGGATTTTACTCAAAAACTAGGAATTTCCAAGGTGGGTTGATCCGTCGCAAATGGAAGAGTTCAAACGAAGGTTCAAATCCCACCAACCATGGTACACGAAGGAAATCCACCTCGCCAGACGCAACCGTAGAAAACTTGAAAGAAGATGGCACAAAACTAAACATCCTGATGACCGACAAAAATACATGGATCAGATCCATGAATCAACTAAGCTCATTCGTCGTGAAAAATCAACATACCTCAAGGCCCAGCTTTCATCCGCCAACACAAAAACTGCGTTTAAAACAATCAACTCATTGTTAAACAAAGGGGCTTCTTCTCTTCCATCTGGCCGATCCTTGAAGTCGCTGAGCAACCGGTTCTCCACTTTCTTCAAGGACAAAATTGTGAAAATAAGATCTAACATTGAGTGTCTGCTCACCCAAACCTCTGAAACAGCGGCGGCGGAACGGGTTTGAAACTGGGGGGCATCACCAAAAAGGGGCACTTGCAAACCCGTGCTGAAATGTCGACACTTTTTTTCACCGGACACTTGGCCTCCGTAAAATCAAATAGGAAGGGGGGGGGGGGGGGGGGCTGGTACCATATCTTCCAACATAGGGGGCGCTCTTTAAAACCAATGATTATATGCTAAATATGCATTATGTGCCCATTTTCAGGCCGTATTTTATGCGTTTTGGGACTTGGTTTTCATTTTCCTCGTTTATATACAAAATATCTATACCATTATTGGGATATGGTTACTTCTAAGAAATAGTAAGATACTTTAAGGGCATTTTTGTTGTTTCTTGAGGGGGCACTTTACTGTTCGAGGGGGCACATTTATGGCCGCGAAAAGGGGCACTTGGGAAATTGGGGGGGGGGCAAATGCCCCCCCCCCCCCCCCCCCCCCCCCCCCCCCCCCGCTTCCGCCGCCTCTGCTCTGAAACTGAAGATGAGGTCCATGTTGATTGTCCGGCACACGTACCTGAACTCTCCGACTTCACCCTAGCTGATGATGATGAGGTCCTTAGACTTGTTAACAAATCACCTAACAAGTCATGTGGACTGGACCTTCTCCCCACATGGATGGTGAAAGAGAACACCGACACCCTCCTCCCTGCACTGGTTTCCATTGTGAATAGTTCACTGTCCACAGGTTCTTTCCCATCAATCCTCCAGAAGCCATTGTTACGCCAATTCTGAAGAAGCCTAGGCTGGATGTGAATAACCTTAAGAACTATAGACGCGTTTCTAATGTGGCTTTTCTATCTAAACTAATTAAAAAAGTTGCCCTTAGTCGTATTAATACTCATCTGTGTACAAATTTGAGGGATCAGAAGTTTCAGTCCGCATACAGGTCTGGCCACAGCACGGAGACGGCATTGGTGAGAATCAAGAGCGACATACTGCGTGCCCTTGATGATCGACAGGCCGTCTTCGTGGTGTTGCTGGATCTGTCGGCGGCTTTCGATACTATCGATTATGCTACTCTCTTAGATAGATAGTCCAATGTATTTGGGAGTACAGGTCATGCTCAACAGTGGTTCCATTCTTACCTTGTTGGTCGCACTAACAGAGTAAAGGTTGCTAGTGAGCTATCTGACCCACAACTACTGGAGTTTGGACTACCACAAGGCTCTGTTGTCGGACCTCAGCTGTTTTCCCTATTTACTCATCCTCTCGCTACCGTTATCCAGCGTTTTCAGCGTGTCCGTTACCACTTCTATGCTGACGACACGCAACTGTACATCCAATTCAATCCCAACAATCCAAGTGAAATCAACCAAGCTCTGTCTACATTATCACAATGCATCATGGACATAAAGCACTGGATGATAAGTAACATGCTTCAACTAAACGAATCCAAAACTGAATTCTTTGTCTGTGCCAACACCAGAATTCTCAATTCGTTATCGGATCTTTCCCTCCAAGTAGGCGCTGATACCATCCAGGCTTCCTCAAAGATCAGAAATTTTGGAGTGGTATTCGACCCAACCATGCAGATGTCCAACCAGGTCAGTGCCATTTGTCAATCTGTAAACATGAATCTGCGCATCCTATCACGGATCAGAATGTACATTGACAAACCGTCTTGTCATGCTGCCATTAGAGCCCTCGTAACATCTCGACTGGACTATGCAAACTCACTCCTGTTCGGTATAACATCTGCTGACTGCAAACGCCTTCAACGGCTCCAAAATCGTGCTGCTAAACTGATTTATCAGGCTGGAAAATATGACAACGTCACTCCTATCCTCCACGATCTTCACTGGCTGACAATCCCCAACCGAATCAACTTCAAACTTCTGACCCTCGTTTACCAATGTCTTAACACTGACTCTGCACCTTCATACTTAACCGAACTCATTCAGCTTTACAAGCCGACCAGAAGCCTCCGATCATCTACTGACACCAGATTACTCCATGTACCAAAAACTCGCACTTCCACTGGAGAGAAAAGCTTC